GGCGGGGCCGCATCAGCGGCAGGTCGTGGCCGAGGCAGAGGGCCGCGCGCGGCTCGGCGCGGGCTGCGCGGACAGCGCGCGGAGCTGCTGCAGGCCGCGCGCGGCCGCGCTAGGCAGTAGCGGGCCGCGCGCGGCTCGGCGCGGGCTGTTGCGGGCCGCGCGCGGGCCGTGCGAGGCAGTAGCAGGTCGCGCGCAACTCGGCGCGGGCTGCTGCGGGCCGCGCGCGGGCCTCGCGAGGCCGTAGCAGGCCGCGCGCGGCTCGACGCGGGCTGCGCGCGGCAGCTGCGGGCTGCGCGCGGCTGCAGCGGGCTGTGCGCGGCTCGGTGCGGGCTGCGCGCGGCTGCAGCGGGCTGTGCGCGGCTCGGCGCGGGCTGCGTGGGCTCTGTGCGGGCTGCGCGCGGCTCGGCGCGGGCTGCGCGGGCTCTGTGCGGGCTGCGCGCGGCTGCAGCAGGCTGCGCGGGCCTTACGGGCCTCTAGGGGCGGCGCGTGGGCCTTACGGGCCTCTAGGGGCAGCGCGCTGGCCTAGGGCAGTAGGAGGCAGCGCTAGGGCTGCTGGACGGCGCACATAGTGCAGCACGTCACAAGGCAAGGCAAGGCAGGCAGGTACGTGGGGTAGCGCGGTAACCGCAGCGGTAGGTGGGCCCGAAAAAAAAAACGGTCCTACGGACCTTAGTGCTCTGATACCATGTCAGAATCTAGCAGCAGGAATGAATGAACTAGCAGCATGCAGGAGTACAAGTAGTAAACCCTAATTGGGCTGTACCCCATATGGGCTACCCCACTACAGCCTAGACAATATGCAGCATATATGTTTGACAAGGCGACGACTGAAGCTGCAGACACACGGGCAACAGGAGCGGCTGACACAATGGCGGCTGACTCAGATAACTGGTACAACACAGGCTCTCAGTGGCTACCGAGACAGTGCGTCCCGGAATACAGGAGTAACGGACTCTGCGGCTGATCAGCAGCGGCAGGAGCAACGGACCCACGGGCGACAGGTGCAGCAAGCTTCTCTGAGCTACCGGCGGCCACTAGAACCCCGGAATACAGGCGCTGCGGACGACACGACGGCAACCTCCGCTCAACCTCCCCCAACTGTCCCACACCCCCCTGCACACACCCACTGCTCAAACCCTAGTTCCACTCCCACGGCACCCCCTCAACCCTAAACCCCAGTCTCCCACTCATCCACCCCCCTCAGCGACAGCTGCAGCAGTGGGAGACGAAGGAGGAGGAGAAGAAGAGGACGGGCGCGCACAACCGACACCCCCACAACCACCACCCCCACACTCCTCACCCCCGAAACCCTAAAACGGGTGGGATAGGGGCTGGAGCGCGGGGGACAGTGAGGGGGGAAGGCGCGCGCCCCTAGGGCGCCAAAACGGACAGGTGGGGCGGGGGAAGGGGCGTGGCGCGCGCTTCTCTTCAGGGCGCCGCGATGGACGGGCGGGGGGGACGCGCGCGCGGCTCCCCAGGGCGCCGCGACGGCCTGGCGGGGCGCGCGCGGGTTCCCGAGGGCGCCGCGACGAACTGGCGGGGCGCGCGCGGGCTCCCCAGGACGTCGCGACGAACGGCCGGGGCGCTCACGGGCTCCCCAGTGCGTCGCGACGGACGGGCGGGGCGCTCGCGGGCTCCCCAGGGCGTCGCGACGGACGGGCGGGGCGCTCGCGGGCTCCCTAGGGCGTCGCGACGTGCAGGGTGGGGGCCGCGAGTGCTCCCCAGGGCGCCGCGACGGACGGGCGGGGCGCGCGCGGGCTCTCCAGGGTGCCGCGACGAACGGGCGGGGCGCGCGCGGGCTCCCCAAGGCGCCGCGACGGACGGGCGGGGCGCGTGCGGGCTCCCCCACGGCAGGAAAACGCCGCGCGCCCCGAGCGCGCGGCGGGATGAAAAATAGCAGGTCGCGCGCCACGGGGCGCGCGACACAGAGTAGGGCAGCGGAAGCAGTTGGGCCCACAGGCCAGGAGCAGGACTGCTCTGACACCATGTCAAGATAGTGACTAGAACAAGGAGCCATAGCTAGGAAAGCCCTAGCTAGGCAAGAGAGAATTAGGCCATCAGAAGAGGGTTTTCACTAGCAGCAATGAGGATACATATAGCAAACCCTAGATGGGTTGTACTCGCTATAGAGTACCCCACTACAGGCTAGACAATAACATTCTGACACTGCACAAGGTTTCATGGGAGACTGGCTCGTGCGTATCCATGAATGGACCCAAGACGAAGGAATAAACTGCAACGGTTCGAATCAAATGGGGCCGCGTACTCTTGAAAGGATGTCCAGGCAACCAAGTTGGCTGTCCAGAGTAGAATGCACCGGCACCTACAACACAACAAGCATGTACACACTCTGACAGGACACGAAGAAACTCTATCTGCCTAGGCAATATACTCCCGAATCTCCACATATTTCACAAAGCTCACGCGCTTGGGGCTTCTGCTAGGCGAGCCTGCCTCAGAGCTGCACCCAAAGGTGCTGGAGGGAGCAGTGAGGCACGGCTTTACACACACTGATTGGTACCTCCCAGCCTCATCCTCTGCCTTCCTGCTGGTGGTGGTTGCACTGCTGGTGCTGGTGGGTGGACTGCTGCTGGTGGGTGGACTGCCGGTGCGGCTGGGCGTGGTGCAGGGCAGCAGGAAACGAGGAGAGGAAGGAGAACTGCTGCTGGTGTAGGTTCTTGCAGCTGGGGACGAGGCAGAGCAAGTGGGAGAAGCAGGGGTGCTGCTACTGGGCGTGGCACCGAGTGCACTGGCAGTGCAACCAGCCTGGCATCCATTGGAGGCAATCCGCGGGAAGAACGACCAGGCATCTCCGCTCAAAAATACACCTGATGCCGCCTGTCCTGCTGCAGATGGTGCCGTCTCTGCTGCTGCATTTAAAGCTGTTTCTGCTGCTTCATTCGATGCCCTCTGTGCTGCTGGGTGCGGTGCTGCCAAGCGAAAGTTCGGCGTTCCTTGAGGCGCCAGTGTGTGTGGGACCACCATGGTCGCTGGAGTGGAATACGCTTTACTCCTCGCAAACACCCGAGGCGACGGTGTGGCATCCTCTGCACCATCTGCACTCTGCTTCCTCGTGCTTTCGTCTGCAGGAAAGAAAAACAGGCTCCCGCGTTTAAAGCTTCTGGGGCTCGAGCTTGCAGGTCCGAGGAGAAACTGTTTGTTGCTGCCCGGGAGTTCCTTGGAACGCGCTGCGAGTTGGTCGCGGCGGCGGCGGAACGCGCAGGAGGCGGGTTCGTCCCCGCGGGGAGGCGAGGCGAGCAAGAGCTTCTCGCACTCAGTGGCGGAAAGCGCACGGCGGTGGGCAGTCGACGGCGCGTCCCCGCGGCGGACGGAGGCGGAACTTCCGCCGCGAGACGCGGACGCGACGTCGGTTGTGGCGCGGGGAGGTTGCGCGAAGCAGCCAGAAAGCACCGTCGGCGGACGAAACGCCGGCGCAAACGGCGCAAACGACGCTGACGCGGCGTCCGATGGGTAGTACGAGTCCATCATGGACGGCTGCTGCGCTTCGCTCCTGTGCGGCGACGGATCAAGATCGCGAAGCTCCACGAGTGAATGACACGTGGCGGCTCGCGGGGTTGTAGTAGGAGGGTAGTAACGCTGGGGTCGGCTGGGCATTACGCGACAGGAACGAGGTAGTTCAACTGAAAAAGCTCGAGACACGTAGTAGAAACGAAATGGACTGATGGGAAGCAGCGGTATTCGCACGCTGCCTTATATGATGGCTCGATTCACTGCGAGGCTTCGAGTGGAATTTCCTTTCCCTTGCTTCTCTCGAGAGTTTCCCGGCCCTCGCTTCCTCCTCGGTGATTTGACCGCCGAGAGAAGCGCGCGACGCTCGCCATTGGAGGGATGGTGACCAATGGGAGTGATGGCATCACGTCAACGCGGCGGTGAGACGTTCCCAAGGGGCAGACGAGATCCGCCGCCATAGCGGAGGAATTCAGGCTGAAGCTGATAAGGTATTCGCTTGATTCTTTAGGAAATCTAGATGTACGATCGCAAGCGGAAGACTAGGGAATCTCTCGAGAATCACCGCCTTCCACGTCGGATCGATATCGTTGCGGTGGTGTTATAGCGATTTCGAGAATTTAGCACGTGAACGGATCTAGCGGAAAATCTATTGACGAATTGTGTTACGCGGTCCAGTGCTAAGCACGGAAGGAAGGAACACGGAAATGACCACTACAGCGAGTGGCACGTGAAGAGGATCAGTAGAAGTGCCGTGCGGTGCGGCCATGGCTGATTTGATTGGGAAGTGGAAACGTTTTCCTTACAAGGCAGGGTGAAAAGATCGACCTAAAAAAACAAACCGTAACGAAATGTAGTGCACCGGAATGGAAAGCTCGAAATTGCACTGCATATCTTATTCGATTGTGATGTGGCAGGGTAACAGAGCAGCTCTTGGGAGTTTAGTGTTGAACGATCCGCTCATTGATTGATTCGCTCCCCAGCACGACTGAGGAGGGCCGTGAGGGCCTTTTGTGTCTTCTCGTACAGTACTTCTCGATAAAAACATAACATACACGTACCGTACCTTGCCAGGATGGCTAGCATCTAGCTACAAATGTTACTGTTTACAATCCGACTAAAAAACACGCGTGGCGTGGGTCTAGGTATGTCGTGAGCAACTAAGGCTGAATTTAAGTGAAACTAGAATAAACAGGCCGAAGAACAAAAAAAAAAGGACAGACATAAGCCTTGCTTCAAACATTTCAGTTCAGTGCTTGAAATTCAGTGTTCTAGATCAGGGAAGTGTGAAATTTCATCCTTACAGCAATAAAGAAATGCCATAGTTATTTTTGCATCAAATGGTTACTCAGTAGCACCATGCTTGCAGCATTTTAATGCAAATTTGTATACAAGTAAATTAATTTCACTTGTTTTCAAGAGCAATGTTGGTGCTGCTACCCACTCATACCCATTGAGTCGTTCTTGAATCATCTGTCTGCTGATGCTGAACTAGGCCAACCCCTAGTTCAACATGCAATACCCCTTTCTGCCTATGCAACATGCTCTAGAATCTCAACGTATTTCACAAAGCTCACGCGCTTGGGGCTTCTGCTAGGCGAGCCTGGCGCTGAGCTGCACGTACGGGTGCTCGAGGGGGCAGTGAGGCAAGGCTTCACATGCACTGGCTGCTCCCTCCTAGCTTCAGCCTTGGCCCGCATGGTGGTGCTTGCACTGCTGCTGCTGTTGGGTGGTGGACTGCTGGTGCGGCAGGGCCTAGTGCAAGGCAGCGGGGTGCAAGGAGAGGAAGGAGCACTGCTGCTGCTGTAAATTCGTACAGCAGGGGATGAGGCAGAGGAGGTGGGAGTAGCAGGGGTGGTGTTGCTGCTCGGACCTGCACGGACTGCACCGGCACTGTTACCAGCCTCATGTCCATGGGGGGTAATCCGCTGGAAGAACGACCTTGCAGTTTTGCCAACTACACCTGACGCCGTCCGTGCTGCTGTCGATGGTGCCGCCTCTGCTGCTGAATCTGATGCTGCCTGCGATGCTACAGCTCGGGAGTTTGGATTCCCTTGAGGCGCCGGTGTGTGTCGGGTTACCACAGATGCCGGAGTTGAATACGCAGTACTCCTTGCAAATACTCTAGGCATCGGGGAACTACCCTCGGGTGACGTGGCACCATCAGCACCATCTGCATGCTGCTTCCTCGTTCCTTCGTCTGCAGGGAAGTAAAACAAGCTCCCGCGCCTTAAGCTTCTGGGAATTGAGGGGATCGTGCAGCACGCAGGACGTGAGGAGAAATTTTCGTTTGATGCCCGAGCTTTGAAGACCGTGGGAGCAGCGGCCGCGTTGGCTTCAGAGGAGGGTTTCTTGGAAAGAGCGACTTGGTGGCGGCGGCGGCGAAACGCGCAGGCGGCGGCGGGTTTGTCCCCGCGGGGAGGCAAGGGGAGCACGAGCCGCTCCTCGCACGCAGCAGAGGCGGAAATCGCACGGCGGTGGGCAGACGACATCAGCGCATCTCCGCGGGGGAGGGAGGCGGAACTTCCGCCGCGAGGAGCGGACGCTGCGGCGGGTGTGGCGCGGGGAGGTTGCGCGGAGCTGCCGGAAAGCACCGGCGGACGAGACGGCGAAAACGACGCTGACGTGTCCGATGCGTAGAATTCCTGTGCGTAGGAGAAGTCCGCTGACGCGGACGCTCCTGTGCGTAGGAGCAGCGTCTGCTGCTCTTCGCCCCTGTGCGGCTTCTGAAACGTCTCAAACGGCTGCTGCTCTTCGCTCCTGTGCGGCTTCTGAAACGTCTCAAACGGCTGCTGCTCTTCGCTCCTGTGCGGCTTCTGGAACGTCTCAAACGGCTGCTGCTCTTCGCTCCTGTGCGGCTTCTGGAACGTCTCAAACGGCTGCTGCTCTTCGCTCCTGTGCGGCTTCTGGAACGTCTCAAACGGCTGCTGCGCGTCTCTCCAGTGTGGCGGATAGGGATCGCGAAGCTCCACGAGTGAATGACGCGCGGTGGCACGCGGAGTTGCCAGGGAGTAGTAACGCTGGGGGCGGCTCGCCATTACGTGATGGGATGATGTGATGTCGCTCTCGAAACGCGAGAACGTACGCGATAACGGCTGTGGTAGCTGAAATGCAGCGCGGCGGCGAGTACAACTAGTGGTAGAAACGAGGTTCGTAGTGATGCTAGTTGCTGGTAACTTAGAAGCTTGATAAATCGATGGGAAGCAGCGGTATTCATGCGCTGCATTAGTGCATGGTAACGGTATGAGTGAGTCACTGAGAGGCTGCGAGAGGGAGTTTCCCCCCCTTCTCCCAGGAATCCCCCGATCGATCCTCGTTTCCTCCAGAGCCACCTCAGTGGTCCTTTCTTCCGACCAATGCGCGCGACGCTTGGAGAATTTAGTGACCAATGAGAGAGCTGGCATGTGAACGCGACGCGACGATCTGTCGACCCGAAGGGGCAAACGAGATACGCCGCCATAGCGGGGGACTTCAGGCCGAACCTGATAAGATACTCGAGCAGGATACTTTTAGCGAATCTATATGTACGATTGCAAGTGGAAGCCAACGGAAACTTCCGCGAGCATCACCGCCTTCCACGCCGGATCGATCTCGGTACAACGGTGTATTGCGATTTCGAGCGATTTATGACGTGAGCAGATCTAGAGCGAAATCTGTCGACGGAATTGTACGATTGCAAGTTGGAGGAAATCTAAGCACCGCTTCCACGTCGGATAGATAATCTACGATAGTACAGATTCAGATCAATTTCGCAGTGCTGAAGCACGTAAAGGGGATGAAGAGCCGGGGGCTTCAAAGATATTGCAAGTGACAGGTTGAACGGCGGCCATCAACATGGACAAGGACAGCTCAGAATTCGTACACAACTCTGTTCTGTTGTTGCGGTTGAGTACGATACCGCGCACTTTTGAACGGTTATTTCATTTCACCTTTTCGAACCGCGACTCATCGCGTTCAAACGTACTGTTAACGTACGAACTCTGACCTGGCCTGGACCGATTTCAATGCATAAGCTAAATCGCTTCCACCCGCAATGAAAAGCACTCCACCGAACCGTACATCCCGCTGTAAATTTCATCGGATTGTGATCTGCTGAAGCGATACCTATCGTGATTCCCTCATAAAGCTCCAAAGTAAGAATGAATCGCAAAAAACGAACTGAAACGTACTGAAACGTAGTGAAAACCTACCGATAATGGTTTCGATTGTGAACTGCCAAACGCTCCACTATAAGCTCATTATTTCGTAAGTCCATGAATTATATAAGATCCTAGTCTTAAGGGGCTCAATTTCCTGGGTGGCTGCTGGAAGTGTTTTCAAAATAAAACCTTACAGGAAGCAAGAAACTGAGCAAGGTACCATGTATAAGATTTCGGGTCAATTCCACTGGCATTCAGATTTTGCCAGTGCAGGTTTGCGATTGTATGCAATTGACGAAATCAGAGGAAACGCGCGCGGCCCGGCGGAAAATCCACGGGATTACCCGTGTTTAGGGTTGAGGCTCCCCAATTGCATGTCATCCGGATGGGGTTTATCTTTTCTGACCGCGGGCACTAGCGGTTCTTTTGCGCCTTTCCTAATGGCCGTCAGTTGCATACCTTCGCAAATCGCACTGTCAAAATTTGCATGTTGGTGATGTTGTCCCTAAGATTCAAAAGTACAATATGCCAGGTTATATGCATGTTATATATATTTAGGCCGTATTGGGGTAGCCAATATGGGGTACAACCCCATTAGGGTTTCATATTTGTACCAAACCCTGATCTAGTCATTCCATTCATGTCTCCAGTTTCTGACGCACTACCTTGCTGACGATTTCCCCCAGGGGCTAAAACGAGCCCTTCAAACCTGATTAGGCTCACAACAATCAACTGGTGGTGGCAGGATGCCTGTGATTGTTTTCAAGAGCAATGCACATACGGTAGGTGCTGCTGCATGCTCAAGACACGCCGTAAACATAACCTAGGTGTCTGCTGGAATAGCCCAACCTCACAGGTGCCCATCCCTTTTTGGTAGACTGCTAGGTATGGTCTGGCTGGTTGCTGGAGTGCACCAATTACTCAACTACACATACAGCAACACACAAATGCACTTGAATGGGATCCCTGTGCAATTTATCCCTGTGCTACTCCAAAATTTTGACGTACTTCACAAAGCGCGCGCGCTTGGGGCTCTCTGCTAGGTGAGCCTAGGTCTGAGCTGCATGCGCTGAGGGGAGCCGTGAGGAATGGCCTGACACACACTGGTTGGTACCCCCCAATCTCAGCCTCGGCCTGCCTGCTGGTGGGTGAACTGCTGGTGCACCGGGGCCTGGCGCAAGGCAGCGGGGAACAATGAGAGGGAGGGGCTCTGCTGCTGCTGCTGCTGCTGCTGCCAGCAGTGCTGCTGCTGCTGCCGCCGTTGTAAGATTGTACAGCAGTGGATGAGGCAGAGGAAGTGGGGGAAACAGCAGGGGTGCTGCTGCTGGGCCCTGAAGCGACAGCACTGGCGTTGTTTCCAGCCTGACGTGCACGGCTGGCAATCTGCAGAGAAGACCTTGCAAATCTGGTAACTACATCCGATGCCGCATGTTCTGCTGCCGATAATGCCGCAAATGCTGCTGTGTGTCCTCCGGCATTCCTCGAGGCGGCCCCAATGGGTGTACTAGTAGGGCCACAACGGTCACAGGAGTGGAATACGCCCGACTCCTTGCGAATACCCGAGGCGAAGGCGTGGTATCCTCAGTACCATCTGCACACCGATTCATCGTGCTTTCATCTGCAGGGAAATAGATCAGGCTCCCAGCGCGCCTTAAGCTTCTGCGACTTGAGTTTGACGGTTGGGAGGAGAAACTTTTTGTTGATGCCCGAGTTTCCGTAGCAGTAGCTGCGTTGGCTTCAGGTGAGGTTTGTTTGGAAAGCGCGAGTTGGTGACGGCGGTGGCGGAACGCGCAGGCGGCGGGTTTGTCCCCGCGGGGAGGTGAGGAGACCAAGAGCCGTCCCCCCGGGGGCGGGCCGCACGCGTCAGACGTGGCGGAAAGCGCACGTCGGTGGGCAACCGTCGGCGCGTCCCCGCGGCGACGGGAGGCGGGAGTTCTGCCGCGAGGAGCGGACGCGGGGGGGGAGGCGAGGGGAGGTTGCGCGGAGCCGCCTGAGATCACCGGCAGTCGATACGGCGCAAACGGCGGAATCGGCTCAAACGGCGGAAACGGCGCAAACGATGCGGACGTTTCCAATCCCATCCGATCATGGTCAGATTCCCATTCCAGCTGCTGCACTTCTCTCCAGTGAGAAGGATAGAAATCGCGAAGCTCCATGACTGAATGCGTTGTGGTGGTTCGCGGAGTTGTAGAAGAGTAACGCTGGGAGCGGCTCGACATTACGTGATGGCACATCCCGTCAACTAGGAGGTAGTATCGCTGCGCCTAAAACGCGACAGCAGGAGAATCTGGTCGCTGGGTGAGATGCAGAGTAGTCACACGGCCTGGCGAGAAGGTAGGAACGAGACACGTAACGTTTGAGATCTCGTGACGAGATGGGTGAACGAGAAGGCAGCGATATTCACGCGCTGTATTAAACGGAAGAGCTCAGCGGAATCAGGTCGACAAGCCTGTCGACCTGTGTCGACCTGTCGACCTGCTGCCCCGGGCAGCAAAAAAACTAAACCCCCATCGGATGGCATGCCATCCGAGGGAGCCTCAACCCTAAACACCATGCCTCCAGGCATTTAGGGTTGAGGCTCCCTGACCGGATGCATGCCCGTCTGGGGTTTATTTTTTTTGCCCGCGGGCAGCGAGCTCCCCCGGGCGGACTCGCTTGTCCGCTGAGCTATTTTCCGCGAAAACGCTGCACTGCGAGGCTCTGGATGAGAGTTTCCCTCGCTTCATCCCGTGACCCCTGACCTCCGATCCGGGCGATGCGCGCGAACTCGCCGAAACGAGAGGGATGGCACGATCTGAACTGGATGCGGCGGAGACGAGTTCGACCCGATGGGCCGGACAAGACGCGATACGCCGCCATCATCACAACGGAGGACCTCAGGCCGAATCTGATTAATATATTTGCTGATTTCATGGAACTTCTGCAGTGTGCGATTTTTAGTGGACGACAGGGGATGTAACGCCTATGGGGCTTACACGTAAGGGTATGAGTGCATCCGCTGCGCCTCAAATATAACCCTCGTTTTGACCCAGTGGGTAGCGAGGTGTTACGTTTGGTCTCAGAGCCTGGGGTTCGATTCCCGGCTGGGTCACATTGAATGTGCCAGTCGCGAACCCCGTGAACGATCCGCCATTGGCCTAGCCCACCAGCGAAGTCGCTACTGAGCGAAGTTGAGGTCCTTGCGAGGGCCGACTCCCTGCCCAACGAGGACGTTGGATCCAGGGGGGGGCCGAGTGTAACGCATGTGGGTAACCTTTGACCCGACAAGTACAGCGCGACAGCAAGGACACACAACTGACTCGCTACAGAGCAGTTGCCCGAGTCGTCACTGTATCGAACCGCAACAGCAAACAGTAAAATCAGTTACAACTGTATCCTTTCATATTCCTTGTAATCTTTTATATATTCTTATACCTTCTTGTTTTAATCAACTTACTTTGCCCTCATATACCAGTGCAAGGTGGTTCACAAGTACTTCATTAAAACGCTTCCGCTATTACATAGTTTCCACCAGAGTTTACCCCTGCAAAGATCCTAAGGGCTTTTCTCAGCCCAACATGGTATGAGAGCAAACAGGGGAAATTCCACTACTATCAAGTCATCAAATACAATTCAAGACATGGCAACACATAAGGAAAGGAGCTCATCTAATGGTTCTCCTGGCACTAGTCCTACCCCACCTCCTGCCTCTGGCCTGCAGACAGAAGAAGGCACGGCAACAAGACCCAGAGCAACGTCTACCGAAACTCCTGCGAATCAATCCGTCAGCTTTGACCAGAGTATGATGGAGAAATTCTTCTCCTTCATGTCCTTCTACGAGCAACACCAGCAGTCGGCACCTGCACAGTCAAACAACAGCAACAACAACCATGAGGCGACTCCAATGAGTCTCGACGGCT